AAGTGACCTGGACACTGTGCTCTGGATAGATGCTAGTTTCGATATTAATCCTTTCCTTAGTCTCCAGTTGTCAGTGTCTATCCCTCTCCCCTCCTCCATTACACTGATGATGCTTTCCATTTATTTAGGTATGTATGGTTGTGTTTCCCAGTGAAAGCTCCTTGAAGGCAGAGACTATTTGGGGTTTTGTCATTGTATCCCTGGTGCCTAGGATAGAGCTAGTCCATTGTAGGTGCTTAATAAATGCTGGTTGAATTGAAATAAAAGGCCATTGGACTTAGCAATAAGGTCACTGTTGTCCTCAGAGCAATTTTAGTAGAGTGGTAGGTAGGAGTGGAAGTCAAATTTCGAGGACTTAAGGAGTAGGTGGTATTGAAGCCATGTCACTGGCTGTGGTTTTGACATGGGCGGCCCAGGCACCTGGATGCAACAAAAGGGGACCACCCTTGGCCCAGATGGAGTTGCCAAGGACTGCTTAGGCAAGGTGATGGCTCTGTCCTCTTGAAAATAGAGCAAACAGCCCCACCCCTTGCTGGTTATCATTATATTACCTCCTCCTCACCCCCCCAGCTCTCTGAGGGTTTCTTTAGAGGGTACAACTATGGGGAAGTTGGTCAAGAGTTTACCTTTGTAGGCTATAGCTAGCTGAGGAATCCTACTCTGCTAGTGTCTGGTGGTCTGGTCCTTTATTCCTTACATTGTAATTACATATGCCTAGCTGAAAAGTGCTTGTCACTGGGCTGTCTGAGAGTGTCTTACGCTCTCTGTGCCCTGGAGAGTGATGTTCCCATGCAGGGACTCCCACTGCTCTTTATGTGCTCTGGGGAGCTGGAGGTAGTTGGGTGCTGATCCTGGACTAATTGAGCTACCATTGAGGCTCATGGGCTGTTCTATTCTTAGATTTCTGTCTGAACTACACTATTCTGAGGGCCTGTGTTACTCATCAGTAGAAAGAATAAAATGGTGCGGGGGAGGGAGATATTGCTGTAGAAAAGATGAGGAAGTGAAAGTATCACCTGTCTATTGGGTATTCTATTCTTTTAAAAAGTGTAGGAGTGAAGGTGAGGCAAGAAAGGGGACCGTGGTTGGAGAGTATTTTGTTTTTGATTTGCAGGAGAGGGGAAACCTGAGCATTATTTTAGGCAAAAGGGAAGGAGCCAATGGATAGGAAGAAATTGAGGATTCATGAGAGAGAAGGATTCCAACAAGAATCTTGCTGGAATCAGTAAGGTTCCAGATGGGTTAGGAAGGGATAGAATCCAAGCCCAGGTGGAAGGATATCATTTTAGCCTTGGCAAGGAGGTGGACATCTCTTCCAATGACAAGAAAGAGGAGAGTGGGTACAGATACAGTAATGTTTAGGTGGTAAGGAGGGGAATTGAGAAATGCATATCTAAGTCTCAGAAAAGTAAGAAATGAGATTATCTTCTGAGAGGGTGGAGAGGTAGTTGGGGCTTAAAGAGACCGGAAGAGGTTTAGAATAGTACCTAGGCAATGGTTAGCCGATGAATTAAATAACTGACTGCTACGCAGGAGTGAAGGTTCAGCTAAAATGAAATTGCTTGAATTTGTAATTGATTAAGTCAGTAGGGTTTAGGGATATTCTGTAGCTCTCATCAGCAGAGAAATCAGATGGTTGAGGTACCCAGAGTTGATAGGGGGAGCTGTAGAAACATGAAGGGCATGAATGATTCTATTATTATGGCTAGTGAATTGTTGAAGTGGCTAGATGGGGGAAACCCGAATAAGGACAATGGATTGGGAAAAGGAGTTAAGGTACCAGAGCTCATCATGGGGATGAAAAGTAGTTTCAGGGGCAGCTGGGTGGTACAGTGGATAAAGCACTGGCCCTGGAGTCAGGAGGACCTGAGTTCAAATCCAGCCTCAGACACATAACATTCACTAGCTGTGTGACTCTGGGCAAGTCACTTAACCCCGATTACCTCATTAAAAAAAAAAAAAAGTAGGCTCAGTAATAGTGAAGGAGAGGGAGAGGTGGAAGGCTGTTATGATTAGAAAGTAGAATTTCAGAGTTTTAGCCTCATGGGATCATAGATTTAGAGCAGGAAGGGACCTCAGAGCTCAACCACCCTTATTTTACAGTTGAAGAAGCAGAGTAACAGCAAATATTAGAATCTATGCCTTTGACTGCAAATCCAGAACTCTTCTACTTGCAACAACCTGAGATGGTATAGTTACTAAAGAAGGTTGAGAGATTAACTTGGAGGTCAGTAGTTGATAGCGGCAGAAAGAGAAAGAATGAGAGGGAGAGAGAGACACACCGAGTGAGAGAGACAGAGACAGAGAGAGAAATTGAGAAAGAGCAAACTACAGTCTGATTTCATGAACTTTGAAGAAGGAGAGTTTTGGTGAAAGAAAAGTGGTAGTGATGGTGGAGGAGCAAAAGGCATGCATGCTGATACCCTATAACTTAGAGAATGTAGGAGAAATAACTTATACTGGAGAGAATTTTAAGGAATGGAGTATTAGGGCAAAATTAGATTTCATTTGATATTCAAGAATATTAGAAAGGTTAGAAGATGTAAGCAAATTTGTTTATGTAAAGAAAAAAGACTATGACAGCATTTTATGTGGTAGCAAAAAACTGGAAACAAAGAAGGTGTCTGTCGATTGGGAAACCTGAAAAAATTGAGATGTGAATGTTATAGAATATTGTGCCATAAGAAATGGTGATCATAAGGTCATAAATTGACACCTGGAAGGGACTTAAAGCCCATGTAGACCATCTTCCTCATTTTACAGGTGAAGAAATTGAGGCCCAGGAATGTGTAGTGACGTGCCCAAGGTCACTCAGGTAGTAAGCTTTAGAGGTAAGATTCTAATCCAGGTCCTCTGACTCCAGAGCCAGTGCTTTTTTCTACTATACCATCTGAGGAATTCAGAGAAATAAGGAAAGACTTATGTGAGCTGAAATAAAATAAAGTGAGCAGAACCCAGAGAACAATACACACAATGACTACAATAATGGGAAGTCAAAGAACATAAAGTAAGCAGAAGGTTGTGTGTGTATTGTAATGATCATTCTTGGCCCTGGAGAAGAGTTGATGCAATATACGTCCTCTCTTTTCTTGAAGAGTAGGGCGACTATGGGTGTGGAACATGGTGTGCATTCTCATATGCAGTCACTGTGCCATTTGGTTGACTTTCCTTGACTGGTTTTCTTTATCTCAAGGGAAGGCTCACTTTATGGTGAAGGGCTCCCTGGAAATGATTACAGTGTAAAAACAAAAAGCAACAATTAACCTTTTTAAAATGGAGGTTCCAAAGGGCACTTAAGAGGAGTCTGTTAGATGGGCTGGCAGGGGAAGTGGGACTAGAGGAAGTGGAAGACTAAGGTGTAAAGAGATAAAAGTCTGGGAGGAGGTGATAAGGCAATGTAGCTTGTATCTCAGGCAGTAAAACTGAGTGACAGAGAATGGGGAACCTGAAGGTCTCAACCTTCTGGTTGGCTAGTCCAACCTCCTCATTTTGCAGGTGAGGAAACTGAGGCCAAGAGGTTAAGATACTTGTCACACAGGAAGAGAGGCAGTATGATAGAGGAGAGGCCAGTAGAAGTAATAGTTTCGACATTCCAGGCAGAATGTTTGTAAAGTACAGCAGAAAGACCCTCACAAACCTTACTCTCAGGTAGGACTTTAGGTCTTGCCCAATTCAGTTCTCCTGGCAGGGTGAGAAGAGCAAGGCTTACAGACTTGCCTCCTGCGTATCTTGCCCCAAGATGATGACAAGGTGGACCTCCTCTTTTGACTAATTCAGAACATCATTCCTCTGATTCTAGGTCTAGAATAGGGTGTCTGGTAACCTATTTAGAGTATTGAGAGCTAGAAGGGACCTTCAGTCAATCAACAAATATTAATTAAATGCCTACTACATGCCATGCACTGGGTTAGATGTTGGGGATACAAGGAAATAGGATGGAAAAAAAATCCCTCCTCACAATGAACTTAAATTCTAATATACAATAAGTACATTTGAAATGTGTGGAACATATTATGTAATACATATTTATGTGTACAAGTACATATATATACATATATATATATATACCTATAGCAGAAAAACAAAATTAATAAATACAATTACATACAAAGTAGTTAAATAAGGGGGGGATGGCCAGTATAAAGACTGGAGATACAGTATCACTTGTGAAGAAAAGAGAGGAGGCCTGTTCGACAGGATTGCAGATTTCATGAGGTGAATTAATGAAACAATAAGACTAGAAAGAAGTCTAACCTTTTCATTTTGCCAGTGAGGAAACTGAGGCTAAGATCCACTTAACTGAGGTTAAGTGACTTGTCCATAGTCAGTCAGTTAGCATTGGAGAGAGGTTTTGCATTCAGATCTCCTGATTCCAAGCTCAGATCCAATACTCCTTCCACTAATCCCATACTTGCTGTAAAATGTTCTTCCAAGGAGCCAAAAATATAGTTGTCCTCCTGTATTCTTATGGAAATAAAGTGAAGGAAAGGGCCATGCTGCCCCAGAATAGTATGGCATGGTGTGGTGTAGTATAGAAGAATATAGTAGTTATTTATTTGGTCTAGACTTTGTATTTGGGGGGCTTTCTCATAATCTCTCTCCTGTTCAGTTAAAAAGCAGTCTCTTGGGTGGAGGTACTACTAGTAAGGATGTGTTGGTAGAAGGAAGTAGAACTCAGGAATGTATGCTTGCCATGTACTCCCAAGGATTTGATCTTGTATTACTATCTTTACTTCTTCTTGGGAAAGGGATTACCCTTCTCGATGAACCTGGCATAGCTTTGCATAGGTTTTTCTAGTTACTGAAGCTGATGATTGGGCTTCTCCAGAGTGGAGGTAGATCTGTGGGAACTGGCTGGAGTGGAGAATTTTATGCCTTGGAAAGGAAAGCTACTGAAGACCCTAGTTACACTGCTTTATAGCTATGAGCTAAGTCCTAGAGAGATTCCTAAATAATTTCCTAACGAGGTTACCCCTCCTCAACCTTCTTCTGTCTTGCAGGGTGATGTGAGCAGAGCACAGGAATGCCTTATGTGGATCGGCAGAATCGAATTTGTGGGTTCTTGGACATCGAGGACAATGAGACCAGTGGCAAGTTCCTACGGAGATACTTTATCCTGGACACCCAGGCTAACTGCCTCCTCTGGTACATGGACAATCCTCAGGTGAGATGAGCCATGAGCCTGTGGCTAACCTTATCAGCTTTATCTGGTTGATCCATTATCAGCATGGACGGCAAAAAACTTGACCCATTCCTCCCCCTCTCCCCATGAAGAAAATGTCACAGAATTATAGAATGGAAGGGATCTGAGTGGTCTGTCCACCCCTTATCCAAAGCTGGAACTCAATTTATAATATCCTTGACAAGTGGTCATTTACCCCTCCTCTTGAAAACTTCCAATGACAGGGCATTCATTCCTTCCTGAGGCAGCTAATTCACTTTTGGACAGTTCTGATACTAGAAAGCTTTCTCCTCATAGCAAGCCAAAGTCTGTCTCTCTCCCTGTAGCCTCTACCCATCGGTCCCAGTTCTGACCTTCTGGGACCAAGCAGAGTAAGTCTTATCACTTTTTCCCATGGCAGCTCTTGTGGGAGCTATCATGTCTGCCAAAGTCTTCTCTTTTCCAGGTTAAAATATCCCTACCATCCTTTACATGACATGGCTGTATCCCCCAACTGTCCCGCTTGCCTTCCTCTGAATGCTCTCCAGCTTATTAGTTGCCCCAACTTTGAACTTCTGTAGAAAGGCCACTCATCTGTTGGGATGGTGAGGCAGACCTGTGGGGTTCACAGGGTTAATGGAGGTTGTTAGGCACCTCTGGGATTCATGGGGACCAGGTAGAGCAGCTTTTTCGGCCTCTGGCAAGCCTGTTGCCCACAGCTATGATTCAACAAATGACAACCCTAAACAAAAGCCACGGACCAGAGAGTTCAGCAGAATAGGGGAACAAAGGGATAGGATGGTCAGATGCCAGGACTCAGCTAGATGGGCCAAGTACAGAATCAGCACTGTCAGAAGAGAGTAAGTGAGATCATACAACCAAGAGCACACCAGGTGCTACAGGAAGGAAGGAAATAAACATTTATCAGGCTCCTACTATGTGCCAGGCACTGTGCTAAGTGCTTTACAAATGTTATTTCATTTGATTCTCATATCCCTGAGAGGTAGGTACTATTATTATCCTCATTTTTACAGTGGAGCAAATGGAGGCAGACAAAGGTTAAGCAATTTACTGTAGGTCACACATAGCTAGTGTCTGAGGCTGGATTTGAACTCAGATCTTCCTGACTCCAGGCCCAGCATTCTGTTTGTCTCTGCTACTTGCTACATTTGGCAAGTTAGTTCCCTAATCTTAATTTTTCCTTTTGTAAAATGAGGTAGTTGAATCAAATAATATATATATATTTTCATTTAAGAAGCATTTTTTTTTTCTTCCTCTCCCATCTCCCTTCCCCTGGAGGGAAAAAAGGGCAAACAAAACCCATGTAGCACATGTGAATTCCCAAACAAAACAAGTTTCTACATTGGCCACATTCAAAAAGCATGTCTCAGTCTTCATATTTAGTCTCTCACTCCTCTGTCAGGAAGTATGGGTAGCATTCTTCATCCTTGGTCCTTTGGAATCATGGTTGGATTAGCTAATTTTTAAGATAGTGCCAGCTAGATCTCTATGAACTAATGAGAGCAAATTCAGCAGAACTAGGAGAACAATTTATTTTTTTTTAGTCTTTTATTTTATTTTTTAAAATTTTTTTAAAAATTAATTTATTTTGATTTATCAACCATCACTTCCATAAGCTTTTGAGTTTTAAATTTTTCTCCCCCTCCCTCCCCAAGATGGCATGCAATCTGATATAGGATATACATATCCATTAGGAGAACAATGTATATGATTACAATGACATTTTAGAGGAAAAACAGCTTTGAAAGACTTTAGGACTCTGATCAATGTGCTGATAAACCATGAGTGCAGAGGACCGAAGACAAAACAGAGAGGTGACAGCCTTAAACTGTAGTGAGAGACATACATTTTTGGGAATAGTCAATGTAGGAATTTGTTTTGCTGGACTTTGCATGCTTATTACGAGGGTTTTGTTTTTCTTCTTTCTTTCTTTCATTTTCCTTCCTTCTTTCTTTCTTTTTCTTTCTTTCTTTCTCTTTCTTTCTTTCTTTCTTTCTTTCTTTCTTTCTTTCCTTTCTTTCCTTTCTTTCCTTTCTTTCCTTCCTTCCTTCCTTCCTTCCTTTCTTCCTTTCTCTTTCTTTCTTTCTTTCTCTTTCTTTCTTTCTTTCTTTCTTTCTTTCTTTCCTTCTTTCTTTCTTTCCTTCTTTCTTTCCTTCCTTCTTTCCTTCTTTCTTTCTTTCTTTCTTTCTTTCTTTCTTTCTTTCTTTCTTTCTTTCTTTCTTTCTTTCTTTCTTTCTTTCTTTCTTTCTTTCTTTCTTTCTTTCTTTCTTTCTTTC